TGCGACCAAATTAAATAACAAGGCTGCATTATGATAACAGTATAGTAAACGAGAAATACGTGTATGAAATAAAACTAAAAACTAAACTGTTAAATATACAAGGAATACGAGTAGCTAGAAGTTGTGAATTCGTTGAAACATTTTAATCTTTCTGTCTTTTATTAGCAAAGGCAGTCAAATGTATGAAATAAAACTAGTTAAATCAGTATACAAGGTATACGATTGACTAGAAACTGTGATTTAGTTCAAGCATTTTAATCTCTCTAACTTTTATTAGCGAAGGCGGTCAACCGTGAAACGTTGCTAAATACTTAAATATCTTAGAAGACTTAGAAATTATTTCACAACACACCTCAGATGTTGTAACTACGGAACAAAGATATTATTACGATCTAAAAAAATAAAACGTTATCAACGAGAAGAGATACGTGAGTAACGAAACTATGATCAATTGGGCGTCAACATCGAACTTTTATCTTTGGAGTGCTGCGTTACGGAGATAAATATTCGTAAATAACTTTTCCTATACAATGTAAAAATCTTTTACTTTCATTATTCAGCATTTGAATGTTTATATTATTAAAAAAGGTTTTATGTCTGTGTCTAAGTTACCTCCAGACCCTGATAGGAACGTAGCTAGAGATCGTACCAGTTTTTGTAAGGTGAGAGCTACGATGCTGGTTTGCTTAGAGGACCCAGTGGCCCTTAGTTGACGACCGCAGCAGTTTTGAGAAAGTATCCTTCACCAAAATAATAAAATTTCAATCCTATATCTGTTGTATTTAGATCGATTGATGATGATGACGATATTAGTTGCATCGAGTTTCGTTCAACGTCCGTTAAATCACGTCAAAGTTTGGTGGCTTTTGAAGGTTTTTATAGTCATAAATACTTTCTTTCTTGCTTGCTGCCTGTTATTGATGTGATACCTACAAAGAAGGTATGGCCACAAAGAAGAATATAATTTTTTTATGGAATAGCACACAAACGAGCAGTTGGATCACCTGATGTTAAGTGATCAACGGTGCCAATGAGCACCTGCAGAAAAGCAAAGGAGTCCGCTCGTTCCTTGAAGGTTTAAAGGTCGTATCGGTTTGAAAATACCGCCGCCGAAAGATCATTCTAAAGTTTAACTGTGCGAAGCAGAAAGTTTCGCGAAAATCGCACATTGTTACAATCAGAGATTAGCCAATAAACAAAGTTAACTGCTAGTGAGATTGACAGCCTAGGCAGACGTATAATATAAGTGGTAGGGGAGCAAGGCAACATAATATGCAACGTAACTGCATTAGCAATTGAACAGGAAGAGTGAAGGAGGAAGGGAGATTCGTCCCCAGTGCTGTGACACAACACTGGCGGGTTGCGAAAATACTGGATTATTTATGGACTACATTCATCATGCAAGCTGAAACTTTTTAGTTACTTATTCTTTTATTTTTAATCTCCATGAGCGAGTGAGGTTCTTACTCAAAAGTAACATACCTACTAGCAATTTCTCTGGAATTGCGGTTGTCTATAGCTTGCGCAGATTTCTTACCATCAGGTGGTTCGTCTGATCGTTTGTCACTCTGAATCAATAAAAAAAAAACAATATATCCTACAGAACTTTATTAAGAAGTTGCTTAGAAAAAAAGTAATACATGAAAGAGCCCAAGGTTGCTACATTCCAACTCATCCGTTCATGGCGTGTAGTAGTAATAAGTACATAGGTTACTATGTACTAACAAAATACATATAACTATGTACTACGTAGTAATTTTATATTTTGTTGTTGAGTTTTTTAGAAGTTGCTTCCTCAAAGTCAAGACATGAAGTTCATTTTAAAGATAACAAATAAATAAATAAATATAAATGAAGTAATGATGACCCACGATTTAAATTAAGAATGTCCACGTCATCAGGGGTTGACCTTGTCTGCGTACAAAAGATACCGATATCCTTTGTTTCTTTTCGCGAAGGAATTTATCGTCATACCAAAATTAGCATGTTTTTTTTTTTTTTGTGAGGGGAAAATCATCAAATGACTTCTCCCGCCCAGGGCCGGGCAGGAGGGAGTGTCAGACTCTTACTGACTAAAAACCCCCCTGTTCCTTCTCCTGCTCTGTGCCGAGGTCGCGGTACCTCATTGCGCTTACCCCGCAACCCCGGCTAAACATCAGCCCTTTAGGGAAAATTAGCATGTGGATGAACTTTAATTCATGATAATTGCACTTTTTATACAAAAAAAATCTTTCCTTTTCTTCAACATCAGTGTCCATTAATCAGTGTTAAGTGATTTAAGAGTATGTTGGTTGAACAACACTTCGTAGTAGAAAGGGACAACAATAATTGAGAGCGTAATTTCTCAAATATGACGTGATTGGTTCAATCAACTGCTTGTTTTGTGTTTCATGAACCTAGTTTTTTAAATGATAGTTGCACGATTTACATGGAAATAGCGTGTTATAGCCATAGTACCTACCTAGATGTTGTTTTGTATTTTTGCACAATACAACTTCTAACTAAACTAGTATTTTATCCTCTGTCTCATAAACAACTGCATCAATTACAATTAACAGTTGAACAGTTGAAGCGGTGGCTATGGCTGGGCAACCAGCTTCCGAGCACGGGGTCGGCACGAAACCACTCTATGTGATCCAGAAATAGTTGTTCTGAGCCTATTTTTGTGTAATTACATGTTTACAAAATCACGCACGATACACGAGATAAGCATAGAATGACGCAGTTTAAAAAAAACTAATACTACACCCTATTAAAAAAAAGGAAGTAGGTACTATTGCCTGATACAATTCTACAAACAATAAACAAGAAATTGATATCCGGCTGTGCAGACTGGGCAGACAAAACAATGGTTCTCACGCCGTGTGTGTAAACAAAACAATGTCAATACACCCTGATGAACGGTGAGCAGTGTTGCCGTGTTGTAAACACACACTGGATTAGGTGTAAACTTACATTCTGTGTTGTGTATTCTTTACAATCTTTATTGTATCATAAACGCGTAAGTTTGCAGCTCTATGGATTTTTGTTGGCGAGAGGGATTGTCAAACTTTTATTGACTAAAAACCACCCCAAATTTAATAATTTCTGTGTCTAGGACGAGTAATTTAATTATAAAATTATTCTCATTTTTTCTTCTATATTACAAACATTATAAATCCTTTTAAACACATATGTATACATATAATTTCAGAGGTTTAGAGTTTATATACTTATCTATATATATATAAAAATGGATAGCAAAATGTGTTGGTAAGCGCATAACTCAACAACGCCTGGACCAATTTTGCTAATTCTTTTTTTTTGTTACCTATGTTTGTTATTGTTAGGAGAGAGTTCTTATCAAAGAAAATATTAGAAAATTAGAAGGAAAAATTGACCCTTTGATAGTGAGATAGTTGGACCCGTGCTAAGCGGGGGTGGGTTGCTAGTTCCTATAATAATAATGATCAGTTTTTGTATATAAGTACATAGCTTTAGACCTTATAGGAATATTGAGACTAATCAGATTCCAATTTAATGATATTTTATTTTTATTATGAACCGACTACTTACTATAAGTATTTATTACTTTAATTATGAGTAAAGTATAACCATGTAAATATCAATTGTTCTGCATTTCATCAATTTTGCATAGTTTATTTGGATTTAGGAACTATGTTTTCTTTAAATATTTTATTTAAATAATTATAATAAGTGACTGCTAGTTTGAGAATTCAGGTGAAGATATATTGGCAAGGAATAATTTTATAGAAGTTACAGAAAAACTTTATAAGGTATAATGTATAAACAAATATTGTTAATAAATTAAGTTTTATGGAATAAGCCATTTAACATACCTCTCCTTATAACTTTATCAGTAATTATAACACAATGAGGAAGTTATTTTAAACTTATACCTTTACCTTGACTTTTTGTAGCTTCATTTAAGCTCATGAAAACTCATAAATAAGAATAGGTGATTGATAAGATGTTTTCTTAATTTTATAATCAAGTGGTATAAAACCTTTTTCATTATGGAAAAAGTTTACAAGCCTAACAGTCAAGCATAGTTTTATTTATCAATAAGTTTTTTATGTTAATCTTTATTTTTCCTTAGTGTTAAGTTCTTTTTAGACAATAGTTTGTAACAAGTCTAAATATATCCAATTTAGTGGAGGATTGAAATAACCAAGAGAAAAGTTTTGTTTGCCACTGACTGGGGATGCATTAGGCATAGTTTGCAAGTTTAAGAGACATAAGAAAACATTTCTTAATTTGTATCAAGTTGTATAATCATTTTCGAATATGTTCTTAACAATAACAAAAAAGTAGCTCACAGTCTTAAAATTACAATACATTCTAGACATTACTAGAAGAAGATAATATTGAAATGTGTGCTTAAATTATGCAAGAATACATAATGAACTAATAAAAAACCAGTTTGTCTTACTGGTTACTCCTTACTTTTTTTAGGGAATAAACAAGACATTTAGTTTTCTTTTCTACAAGAAACCAGTTTTAGTATAAAAAATGTGTTAAGTAGATAATACTTTGTGCTGCCTAGTAGTGTCTATAGTTTAATATTAAATCCATATTAACTTTCATTATTACAGATCAATAGTACCTAAAGATGAGGTTGCTAAAAATAAACAAATGAATGTCGGTGAGAATCTAGTTTTGAGTCAATTTTTATTTTGATCTTGCATTATTTTGTTTCTGAATTTTAATAATAAGATATTTATTATGTATCCTATTAGAATATTTCTTTAATAAGAAGAACCTATAGTTAATTTAGACTCTCGTTTTAGAAATCAATAATGTATTGAAATGTATTTTTAACTACTTATATATGTTTTAAAATTAAAATGTTATAACAAAAACACATTGAAATATTATTTCGTATGCCAAGCGCATGCGCCGGCTAACGACATGCGGAATGATGACTTGATGAATCTAAAAATAACAAACACATGGTCAGAACAAAAAAATAGGTATCGTAAGTAAACATAAATACTCACGGCCATCCGTGAAGCTGTCTGTGGCGTCCAGTGGGATGACCAGCAAGGGGAATATGCCACTGAGGCCGACCAGGACCGACGCAAGTCCAGAAAATAACCATGGATGCTCATCAAGTTGGTCCACAAAACTGTACATGTATTCTGGTAGAAAGCCCGACAACGCCATTGTATCGTCCCGCGATTTAAATCGAATATAGAATAAGAGTTCTATTTTCAAACCTCACAAAGCAACTTTTTTTCAACGTTCTAAGCTGCCTGTACTATCGATACATCATCGAAACGACCGGCGGTTACTGTTTCGCGCGATGAACTGAATATAATCAGTATCAGTAGGCTGGAGATGTTCGCATTTCCGAGTTCTCCGAGATAAAGCGAGATGCCCGAGTCCAGACGAACTAATCTACACTGAGACTCAGAACGTCCGACCGATACTGTCCTTATCTATATACGATACTAGAACAAAGACAGTTAAGTCACTGATCTTTCACAAAAGTAAAATGTTTTTCGTTATTATGCGCACTAGAAATATTTTACGAATATCATTGACTCCCCGCCAAAGAACATTACAAAACAATGCGATGTAAGGACGATGCGACGAACGAATATAACCGAGCGACTGTCACAAAACAGGCAACTATCAGCTGTCAGCTTGACATATGACAGAAATTGAAGTATTACCAGACTTAAAAACAATTCTACAAATAAAACAGTATGTATTTGTACAAATTGTAAAAATAATTAATTTTAGATAAAAACTAAATAAACTAGTTGGAATTTCATAAGAATATCATAACTTTACGGTAGACATTACAAAGGCCAAATAAAGCAATATTTTGCATACAGAAAAATACATGTTCCTTCGACAGAAACAAAAAAACATTGCAAGTTAATAAGTAAATCACACAAATCTTGGAGTTCATCAAAAGCAATGCCGTATTAGGGAATTATTCTTCAAAATATTATTTCATCATCATCATCATCAGCCTATAAGTGCCCACTGCTGAGCAAAGGCCTCTTCTCATACAGAATATTATTATTTAATTTCCATTATTTAATTATGTTCAGATGGATAAGACTGATTATTTGGAAACAATCCAAAAGAAGATAAAACCATAGCAAAACTTTGAAATTGTGTACCTACAATGAGCGAACGACCTACTAATTATCTTAAAAAACGAATAAAGCTAGTTAAATTGATTTTTATTTAAAAGCATTCTTGGGTTAACATAAAATCTTTTCCTTGATTCTGGGACGTAGATGCGTTATTCTAAACATGTATTGGATCAGTCGTTAGATGATGTTAGACGGTCTCGCATCTACCGTAGTTACTGTGACACGATTGCAATACGAATCTTCTTGGCAGCCGCACCGTCTCACTGCGCCCAGTTGAAGCAAAATGCCGTACTTATTTTGGCCTGCCAATTTAAATATCTGACAGCATATAGGTACATCTGCTACAATATAAGTTTACTGACTGGTTCGCATTTGTACCGCACGGTTAAGGCGCACAGACAAGCGACATGACGGGAAACTTGTCGAGTTAAGCAGTTCAAACTTCGTTTTACGCAGTTTTCGCGCCAATCCGACATTTTTGTGATTTGAAAAGGATCAGTGTGAAGGTTTTTTATTTTTGTGGAAAGTTATTTTGAATTGCCACCATGGATTCGTGGGGGATTTTAAATGTGGACAGCGCTGCGATGGCGATCACAAGGGATGATTTGGGGTCCAGTTTTCGCCGGAAACAAGTCATGGTAATAAGTATTACATTTTTTTGCCTATTCTATCCTAATCTATGGAAATTATCCCTTGCATTGTTAAACTATCTCTAGGCTCTTGATAACCTTTTTCTTTCTTCTAAACGGAGAAAGCGTTAATTACAAAAATGTGCTATTAAATAAATAGTAGTAAATCTCAATAAATACTTACAATAAAGAAGACTCCTTAACTATAAAATTAATTCGTGTAAACGAACGATGAAAGATGAGACATTGAGACAGTTTTAAATAATCCGTCTGGGTTTCAGTCAGTGATTCATTATGATGTAATTAGACGATCTTGTTTAAGAGCTTTCAAAATAATTAATACACTCCGTCTTAAATTATTCAATCACATTTCCTGATGAGCGAACGTAGGTAAGGTAGAATTTGTACCATTAGTAATTCACAGGTAAGGAGCTAAACAATAAAAGGCAGTAGTCCAACAATACAATTAGGTACCTAGTTTTTTCCAGCGGCTTTGCTTGTCATAGCCGTGTATTTCTATGTATATTTTCATTCGGAATCGTTTAGTAGTTTTATGTGAATCAGTAACAAACATCCATCATCCATTCAAACTTGCGCGTTTATTATTTGATTGATACTAATAATAAATTTCTCCATTAATAATGGACATAAAATATTTAAAATTTGAAGATTTAAGCATAGGTACATAGAGATGTAGTGAAATGGTAATGGTAACTAACGGTAATGGATGTAGTGAAATGGAAATGGTACCGCAGGGCAAGCAGCATTCTCCATATTTTCAGTGACAATTGCGCTGATCCCTTTTTATTGTGAGGGAAATATCATCAAATCATTTGATGATATTCCCCTCGTTTGTCAGGTCAGTCATTTTATTCAAATGAATTCTTTCGCCCAGGTGAGGCACAGAGGGAGTGTCAACGTCTTAAGGACTAAAAACCCCTCCGTTCCTTCTCCTGCTTTAGGCCGAGGCCACAGTGACGAGGCGCTTACTCCGCAACCCTAGCTGAACATATAGCCCTATAGGGCCCCGTCTGTCGTGGTCAATTGGCTCTTTGAGGTAATTGCACAGACCCCCACAGTCTTGCCAAGCGTGCGGATTATGGCGAACTCAAAACCTCTGGAGAGTCTCGGTTAAGCACAGATCTCATACCAGCTGATGATGATGAATATAAATCTATTTTTCAAAACGAATCTTTTAGTAATTTTTGTGTAAGTATGTAGATCTGAAAGAGATTTTTAGGTCACATTAATATATGACAGATGTATGATGTTAGTTCGTGTCTTAAGAAACGGGAAAATATCGATATCGAGTTATTATGATGTCTCATTTAGACTGAAAACATAATAAATAGTCCTGAAAACCTACTTTAGATATATTTAATAGATTTTTTTATATCACTTGGAACTATTTTGTTACGGTATTTGAACTTTTTTGATTGAAGTAGGTATCAATGTAAATGAAGACCTATTTGAAGGTACCAATTAAATAATTTAGAAGCTTATTAACCACATTAGGTAATGGAATTAAAAACATCGAATTAAAAATGTAACAGTTTACGGTTTATAACGTACCTACGTCGTAATACGTGTGTCGTTAATCAAAACTTATTAAGTCTCCATTATTTACGCTTCGGGATCGTTAGAAAGATTAATTACTAGCTTTTGGAATGGTGGCTTCCTCCAGATTTTGGTTTTACCCTCATAGTTTCTGATCTAGCGGGATTTTCGGAATACAAACTATCCTATGTCCTTTCTCGAGTTCCAAACTATGTCCGTACCAAATTTTACACAAATCGGTCTAGTAGTTTGAGCGTGAAGAAAAGACAGACAGACAGACAGAGTTACTTTCGCATTTATAGTATTAAGTTGGGAAGTTTGGATTGATAAACTGCACCGTTTTTTCACTACTGCTACTTACATGTCAAACATGGTCTGTTAATTACCAAAATATCCCTTGCACACTACATTTTCGTAACTTTCATTTCGTTTGGGTTAGTTTAAATGTAAGTTATTCAGCAAGCTTCTATTCAGTATTATCAGCATAACGAAGGAAACAAATACAGCATCAACTGAACCTATAGGACTCTTCTTTTCTTCCTGTCATTTTGTTATACATTTCCTCTTTGTGATCGTGCGATTCATTTCTATTAAAATGATTCAAATTAACTAATCATTCGTTTGATGTGACTTTCATTTCAAAATTGACAAAATCGTATTTCTTATACATGTTTTACCGATTTATTGGCGATTGGTTTGAAGTTTAAAATACTTAGTTTGCGAACACGAAACGATTGAAAATATATACCTAATAATATATCTTCAACTAACACGTGGCTCCATTAGTGAGTTATCTTAATAGTGTTCATGTATCTTTAGCTGAGAATGGGGCATTGATGAATTGTAATGCAATCGTTTTGATTGCGTTATTTTGTGTGTGCTAAATAGCTAACTATTTAAGTAACGTTGTAACAAAAAAATAGCGGAGAAATATCTATATGAAAACCTTGGTAAATTATTATCTAATTACAGTACAAAATAAATAATTAATGAATAATTGTATGGACCGCAAAAAATGGTCTGATCTTTCAAATTAAGAAATAAATGAAGGTAAAAAAATCGATTTTTTATCGTCGATAGTGGTCGATTTTTTATGCGCCTAAAATAGTAAGTAGGTACATTTATTATTAGAAAAAAATGTATGGAGATAATAGTTTATATAGAAATTGGACAACCAATAAATAAACATCCTATGTTTCTAGTTTAGGTAGGTACGCGTTTGTAGGGGAATGACCTATCTCGGAGTATTAATATAACATAATCAATAAGTACTAGATACTATGTAAGTAGGTGCTAAAGATTGGCCTGTTGACATCCTATAGTATCTAAAAATAAAAACCTACCAATGGCAATGACAGACGATTGATTTGTGCCAAACAATTTACTTGTTGCGATTATAAGCAGGCAATAAGTCGTGTGCTGCAAAATTAATAAATAAGATTTATTACAATATGGACGAGGAAGATTATTCTATTAATGAGTCTGATAATACTAATAAAGTAGATGATGAAGCTCAAACTGATATTACGTACACCCTAAAAGCTCCACCAAGGAGGAAGGTAATGTTTGATTGAACCATAAACAAAACAAGGATGTGCAGTGATAGTTTTTGACAAGTGTTCTAATTTACGCTGTGTTTTTCATGTAATTCCATTTTACGATACGTGCCAGTTTCTTTATCTAGTTAAATGACCTATTGTCTCTTTTTGTGTTTTCATTAAAAATATTAAATTAAATGTGTTTTGTATTCAAACATAATCATTGCCATGAGTTGGCGTCACCATCGTATTTAAGTATCAAAGTGTTCGCAGCGACTAATTCTAAATCTGGAGTAAAACATCTGTTCGTTACTAAATGTACCGATTAGGATTGGCGCCTCGTCCATTACACCTTTGGCTTTAAGACGTCATAGTATTGACGTATAAACAGATTTGCATCGCATATTTAGTACCTAATAGGTAATACATTTGTTGGATGAGTTCCTTCTGTAAAAACAAATTTGGCTTAAAAACATGTAGATAAGTAGATTGGCTAAATCTGTGTATAAAATGAGATTTTGCATTTAATGTTGACAATCAAGAATACAATGAAAACCATGAAATAAATAAAAAAGTAAACGAGCGCATGATTCTGCATCGTGACATTTCAAATTAGGAATGTTTGCTAGGTATGTGTTGTCGCCAGGTTGAGATCATTGCATTGTCGCGACATTCAGATTATCAAATTTCAATCGTAACTGATTGTTAATAAAAGTGATAATTGTATGTAACGCTATTATTTTTGTCTAGAGAACGTTGGCAACAACGAATTATAAAGCAG